ATGATAGATAATCTACATTTTATTTTTTAATCAATCGGTACATGCATTATACAGCCTGATTTTAAATTTGAGGATATGGGAATTGGTGGCCTAAATTCAGAAATTAGTATGATATTTCGTTATGCTTTTGCTTCTAGAATTTACCCTCATAGTTTAGTAGAAAAATTAGGAATCTAACACATGAAGAGTTTGTAACAATAATGAAAATTTCTTATGAAGGATAAAATAAAAAATATTTTTAACTGGAATTATAATTAGTTGAGAAAATATTTGGAGAAAAATATTGGATTAATATTAAGTGAGAGATTGATAACCAGTGGAAATTATTCCACCGTTGTATAAAATAAATGCTTCAAGAAGAAATTGAGGATGCAATTGAAGATGTAAGTAAAATAAAAAGATTAATATGAACAATTGAGATAATACTATTTATTTTTTTAATCAATTATTTGCCATTAGAATAAACCATTTGAATTTGAATGGTTTCTTATTATAACAAAAGTTTATAAAGGAGTTGAATCTATGGCAGATAAAGAATTGGAAGAGGAACAACAAATAGGAAAAAGAAAGAAGACTAAATTGGTATATATTATATTTAGATTCATGAAGGATTTTAACATATATTAAAAATATTTAATTTAATGGATATTTTTTATTTTTTTATTTTTCTAGTCATCATCTGAATCAAATTTTTTTATTTTCATTCAGAAATAATTGAACAAGTAAATGTTTATATATAATTATATGATATTTAATTAATTTTTATTAATTAAATGTCTCTTTTTCATTCGTTGTCTTTTTCTACAGAATCAGATTTCAAAAGAAGTTTTTATGAATTTGGTATTTTACCCTCATTAAAAATATTTCTATTGCACAAAAACAAATTTAACAAATTGGTAATGGATTTGGAAATTGCCTGTAATAACAACTAAAATTCGCATTACAAAATAAATAAATCATTGTTCTCTTATTATATTATTTTATTTTATTTGCCTGTCTATCCATCATATAATATACAAAAGATAAAATTACATTAAGATTATTTAGATGATTTTAGATTATTACTGATATTTCAAATTAACAGCCTTCCCAAGTAATTGGCACTACTCCATCATCTAGATCTGCAATTTTCTAAATGATAAATGATATGATTTTTAGATATTTCATATAATAAATTCAAAAAAATGAATAAAATAAGATAAATTACTTTGAATGCTCTAGGTGATAAATCAAGGTCGCCTTTTTTACACCCATCACACTGATATTGCAGAACATTAAATTATTAATTAATTAATTGATCATTGATTGTTTTTTAAAAATAAAAATAAATAAAATAAAAATACCCTGTCAACTATTTTCACTTTAACACTTCCTTTTGGTCCTGTGACTTTTATACATATGCCACACACTGGTGATTCATCAGAATTAGCAAATTTACCATATTGTTCTTTATTCTAAAGTTTTTTTTTAAAAAAAAACCATTTTCATTATATTATTATATACCAAATTGTTTTAAAAGGAAACAAAATATTACTACTATTTACCATTGCTCCAATTAATTCGTTATCGTAATGTTGCTGTCCACATGCACTAATTGCAACATTCGGATCTTTTTTATTTATTAAAAAATAAATTAATTGATGAATTGACAAAATAACATTATTTTTTTATTTAAAAATAAAACTTACCATAAAAAGTTGCATTGCCTTTTCCACTTAACTGACTGCCAGGTTTACCAGTATCGTCTCTAGAAGAAAATCCACCGACAGCAGCAATAATAATAATAATTAATAAACCAATCAATAATAAAATCAAAAATATTATTATTATTATCTTGTATTTAGCAATCCTGGGAAATTTTTTATCAAACCATGTATTAAAACTTTTTATTTTTAACATTAATTTGGAGAAAAAGGAGGGTTTTTTTGTTTTTTCTGGCGAATTTGATTCTATATCATCATTTTTTTTAAATATATTTCGCATGATTATTGATTTATAAAGAGGTTAGACAGGAAGAATTTGTAATTTTTTTATATTATATATATACCAGTATATATATAATAATTTTTAAAAGAATGCGATTTTTCTTATTCAATAAGAAAAATTTAAATTTTTAAAAATTTTTACAATATTAAAAACCAAAAAAATTAACCGGTTAAATAATAAAAAAAAAAAGACTTTATTTCCATATTTGCATTCACAATTCACAGATGATGTAATCTTTGCATTTTGTTTCGATACATCTCGGTTTTAAAGACATTCTTTGTATTCAATTCATTCCTTCTCTATATAATTATAGTTTTAATTATTATGTAATTGAATGCGCATCTTTTTAAAGTTTGATCCTTTGTGGGCTCGTGTAATATATTAATTAAACGCACGGTCAGAGGAGCCGATCCTTGAATTTTATACTTGTTTAATTTCCTAATAAATAAAACAAATATTAATTAATTCGACTAATTATAAGCATGAAGTTTTAAAAATAACATCAGATCAAACGGATTCATAATAAAACAAATAGAACCATATTTTACCAGTCTTGCTTGAATGTTTCAAATAGTTTGTTATTGTGCAAACAAACGTTTTTTATTATGATGGGCGATTCGATCATGTGATATTATTGTGTAACTAGTACAAATTTCTAAAAAGAAGTTTAAATAAAAGAATCATTGGGGTTAAGATGATGATGAGCATTCAAATGAAAGAAGCGTAAAACACGGAACTTGTAATCGGAATAATGTGATCTAAATTTAGCTATTATTAACTGAAGGATGAACAAGTGGCATGAAACATTAGATGAGTTTGATAGTGTAATAAGCATTTAACAAAATTGTTTAAGGTGGATTTGCAACTATATAGATTACGAAAGAAAAAAAAGAATTAATGAAGAGTGCAGCATTAAAAAAATTACATAATTCACAGAATATTTCTGATGAATTTCTTAATATGAGTTTCAGATGCTTTTCATTATTGTTATTGTTTTTTTTTATTCAAAAATTGATAAATCAAATATGATTACAATTTATGGATTACACACAAGAATATTTGTAATGGATTATATAAATGGATAATTATTATGATTTATGATTTCAAAAGAATTAAAACGAAAAAATAAATCAATATTTTAATAATAAGATTATTTTCCTTCTAAGGATTTTTGCTTTTTGTGGATAATAGCACACTTTCATCCTGCTTTCTTTCCTTAATGCTTATGATTTTTCTTTCTTCTTGGTAAATTTCATAAGTAATACTTTTTTTTCTTAGATAGGCTTCAAGTGTCTGAGTATCATTTATTTTGAAAATGTAAGGAGCAATTTTTTCACCTTGCTCTTTCTTCAAAACACTTCAGATATGGTTGGCTTAGTCTAAAGACCTCTGATTTCTGCGTCACGTGTTCGAATTTCAAAAATAATTATCTTCATTCCTTTTGGTTTTTCTACACGAGAATCACCTGGGAATACCATTTGTTGAACTTTACCATCAAAAATAATGTCCCTCATAGTTGTTTGTCCCCCTGCAAGGCTTAGATTCATTGTAAATGCATTCAATGCATCATCTGTCACTTTAGTATGACTTGATGAATGTTCAAATGCAAATACTGCAATCCTATTAGGATGTGTTAGTTCAAAAATTGGTATGGCCTTGTTAACAATCTAAAAATAATAAATCTAGTTACATATGTAAACTCAATAAGTAATTTAATTCGATAAGTTGGTTTACTTGATAAGTCGGTCATATGAGCTCGCCCCCACATGATCAACTTATTGAGTTTACATATGTAATTATTAATTATCCTTTATTTTGATATTGATCTATTAGCTGTTCAAGATCCCACCAGCCATATGCATTCTTTCAGGACATATGATGACTTGAGCATCATGAGAAAAGTTCTTTTCAACCTCTAATTTTCGTTCATCTGATAATTTAAGTCTACCAATTGTTTCAGTTAAAAAGTCACTTACATGCATTGTTCTCCCTTGACCTTTCTTTCTCAGTGGTTGTTCATTCCTTGGTCTCCAACCTGATTTTTCATCATCATTAGATTGGAATGTTGTTTCATCCTGTGTTCATACATGTATCTTTTCATCTTCTTCCAATTCAGGTTAATTTGAATTTTCCAAATCATCAACAGTGAATTTAGGCATCAATTTCCGGTAACTATTGTATCATTATGATAAATCTAATTAATTAATTGTATATATAAAACAAGAATAAAATTAAAATTACCTTTCAATGACTTCTAAAAATTTCTTTCTATATTCAAAAAAAAAAAATCAACAGTCGCGTTTACTTCGTCGAAAATTATTTCGTCGACAATCATTTCGTCGACACCCATTTCGTCGAAAGTTTGTTTCATCGAAAGTTCATTTCGTCGAATGTTCATTTCATCGAATGTTCGTTTCGTCGAATGTTCGTTTCGTCGAATGTTCGTTTCGTCGAATGTTCATTTCGTCGAAAATTATTTCATCATCGAGCCAGAGACCGAACGAGTTAGATGTAAGGAGTGTGGGAAGTTAGCTAAGAAATTAAGTGAAGAAAGCGGTGTGTGTGGGAAGTGTGAGGAGAATTTGTTTAATGAAGTTTTTTTAGGTGACGAAATAATTTTCGACGAAATGAACTTTCGATGAAATGAACTTTCGATGAAATGGGTGTCGACGAAATGACTGTCGACGAAATGAATCAGACCCCATAATCACAAAATTTAGAATTTGTTATATCAAACTTATTTATTCTTAAATATAAACTAATTTTGGATCCCACATCCTCATCATCTAATATACTGCTTCTGATTAAATGTTGACCATATCTAGATTTAGGAACATCACCATATTCTAAAAAAGTCTTTTATACATCTTGAAATCACTTGTCTTTCTTCATAAGATCAGGAACTATTTCACTGGCTTCAATTTTTGCATATATTATTTGGGTTATGGTGATTTTGCATTTCATGATAAACCATGCGGTTATTAACATTAAATGGGTTGGCTTTAGAGCAATTTCAATTTTTAATCAAGATAGTGTAAAAGATCAATTGAAAATAATTATGGAAAAAAAATAATTATATTTTAATAAAAATTTAAATTTAGTGGAAAGAAAAATTACATATGGTATATTTATATCTGGGTATAATTTTCTAAAACAAGTGGGTAAAGAAAAGGTGATTTACTATTAAACCTCAAATGTACCATCTACTAAGATTGTTCGGGTCCTATTTCAACCTAGGTCACAACTGGTTGCAGAATTTCAAATCAGTTGCATTCACCAACTTTAGAGGCATGGTTAGATTTGAATTTTAAATCTGGACATCCATTTTTTGCTAACTTTATGATTATAATTTGAAATTGTTGACTATTTTTTGGTAGCCTTGCAAAGCAGTTAAAAATACACGTAATACATGATTTTGGAAGTTGTATGGCCATTTAATAAAGCTCTCGCCAAGTTTTTCTTCATGTAAATTATTTTTCAATGAAAAATCTGCATGTTTTAACCAATAATATTTGTTTTGATTTTAGACGAAACAATTCCGGATTATGTAACTTTAGAGATTTTGGAGCTATTTTATAAATTTAAATTAAAAAGATAGTCAGATACTCAGAGTTTTATTTAGTAAATTTTAAAGTACAAATCTACATGTAAAAAAATATTGTGCTATTTCTGCAGATTATGGACACTAATTGATTTTACTATGATGCCGGAATTTTACTATGTAGATCTTTTCCTTCACTGATGGATCACGAATTAGTAATTTAATAGTCACGGGAGACCCATAGATCACTAATTCATAATTTTTTATTATAATTTAACCTTTCTATAAAATTTAAAATTTAAAGTTGAATGAATGAATACATGCTTTATTGATCAACATTACACGGAAATCGTAAAACAATTTTCAGGTATATTTTCCGTGTAACAAAATTAAAAAATTTTTTTTATATATTACTCAACCCGTTTTCCTAGAGCGCCCCCATATGACATAAGAACAGCCATCCAACTTCATGATGTCAATGAATTAACACACATTCAAAATGTATATGCATAAAATTGATAGTAATTGTTTCAATCTTTGAACATAAAAAAATTGTATTACTCTGAAAATATTTAATGCAAATAATATTTTATTTTTAATTTTTTAATTATTAAATAAAAATATAAATAAAAATCTTGTATCATGTTATGAATTGATGATTATGAATTGCAAATTCATACTCTCTATAACGGTCTTTTTACCAAAACAGAAGGACCGTTATAGAGAGTGACTGTTTCAAAATCTTTTTATTATAATTAATGATAAAAAAAACGTATGATATTCGACTAAAATCTTGACAATTAAAAAAAAGACTTGAATGACTATAACTATTAGTATTTGATATTTGATTTAGTTCACATTCAGCACTAAATCCAAACATACCAATCATCGTCATTACCTTTAAATAATACTAATGTTAATAGGTTCTAACCTTTTTTCGAAAAAAATAAGATACAAAAAAATTTACTAATATATGTGGACCTCAATATGTGAAAAGAAACCCTATATTTAATATAATCATATCAACCTATTGGCTTTTTGGTCCTTTTTTCAAACCTTAACTCGACGTTAAACACGAGTATTTTTAATGATAATTAACCCTAAACTATTTTACTATTCAACAACCTGTCAAACCAATTGCCCACCTCAAAACCAATGAAGTTTTGCTATTATAAAGTATTCATGACGTTATGACATACCGTACTGAATTTTGGGGTTCAAACAAAATCAGCGCATATGTGTGCCCAGTCCGACTAGAGCGTGTATTTGATCCCAAGTTTAACAGACACAAAATATTCAATAAAATTGGTTATTTCTATTATAAGTATTCGAACGAGGTTTTTTAAATAATATCACATAACGAAAGTACGTAAAATTTATATCATTATATGGCTTAGGTTTCGACAACTCTACATATAAATTTCGGGGGGGGGAGGTTTGCCATTATTTTATGACTTTTAGCTTAAAAAAAACGAACATCGTTAAAATTTTATTTTAATATTCTGTTGGCCCATAACGTTTGATAGTATGTATACCTCAAATCATTCTTGAAATACTTTCAACAAGGCTATGACTGTTTTAGCATCTTCAACAAATAATATCTCTATATAAATATAATCAAATATATAAACATATACATATACGTTAATTAATTGACTTACTACTTAACCAATTCTGTAGCCTTCTTTGGTCTTGTGCGGATTTATCATCATTATGTAAAACAAGCATTCCACCTGTTCTTTATAATTGTTTCAAAGTTTAATCCATTGATATGATATATACTTGTTCTACTCTAATGGATGACTATAATAATTAAACGCATAGGATATCTGTATTTGTATCTGGATCCAAGCCCTAATCGATAATGACTAAATTTTGGGCCCTGAAATTCTTGATAGCACAAATGTTCACTTTGTTGCAGCATGCCCCATATATCGAATCAATTGACTCAGGAACTTTTTCTTTCTCTCTCTTTCAATGGATGCTCCAAGTCCAAAGTATTCTTTGGATGCTTTTCTCATGAAAATTGATCATGTGCTGTGCTTTGAAAATTTTGAGTAAGGCTCCGAGCGAATCGAATCAAGTCGGATTTAAATTAATGGATCTTTGGTATTACTATATGGATGTGTTTCGCAGTTTATTTATTTTTTACTAATAACTGATAAACCAGTAGTTTCATAAGGCGTGATAGATATGTGTGACTAGGAGTTGTCCTATCTATCTACACCACTAAAAAGCCTTACCTAAAATAACAATCATAATAAATTTACATTGGTTAAAGATAGTGACGATCATCATTATCCATTGTATCGAGATATTAATATTAAATATTTATCATAAACGGACGGACATGTTAATATTAATATATGAAAGCTCCGTCAAGTCCGTTAAATCAGGATAATAATAATAGATAGAATGGGCTTTGAATCAAGACCCACTAAATCGAGACGCACAGCGTATTTTCCTGCGAGTGACGCTATTAACATTTTCTAATTGTAAATTTTGGACTGAAAATACAAGACAAGACGGATAAGATATAAAAACTTATTATTATTATTATTATTATTATTATTATTATTATTATTATTATTATTATTATTATTATTATTATTATTATTATTTTTATTTTTATTTTTATTTTTATTTTTTTTATCATTATTTATTAATTATTAATTGATATTATTATTATTATTATTATTATTATTATTATTATTGAGTTTATTGAGTTTATACAATCAACTCAAATAAATAATAAATAATAAACAAATATTGTTAAATAGCATTTAATAATAATAATTTTTTTTTTATATCGTTTAGAAGTTTCTTTTTAGCTGGTTAAATCTTTTTTTAATTTATTAGAGTGGAAGGGATATTGACAAGTTCAATTTCATTATTTTCAGTATACAATTAAAGATTTCTTAACATGTCTTTAGCAGTTTTTTTTTCTTTCTACATTACCAGTTAGAAATGTTTCCTTCAACTTTTCAACCATCTCTAATGCTTTTGCCACTGCCTTTTTACCCCGAATATTTGTTTGCTTTTCAAAGTAAATCCAGGTTTAATGGAGTTGGGGATATCCCAGAACTTTGAGATACTAAATTATGTCGCACGTAAAAAAAGAAGATTCTTTCGGTTTTATGTATAACCGCCCCGTTCCTATCTTTTATTATGTAAACAGGGTTTTAAAAAAATCAAATTCCTTCCTACAATAGTTTTGATAAATTAGTACTAGTTTATTTCTAAAATTAAAATTTTAAAGTGCTTCTTCATAAATTGATTTTTTATAAATAATTTTTGTAACGTAAATTTCGGGATCAAATTTAATTGGATGAGCATTTTATATAAATTTTGTCAATATAAAAAAAATACTATACCAAAATTCCCTTCGACTATTTTAAGGCGGGAATTTGCTATATTAATATTGTTGCATCATCCATTGTGTATCAATTAGTAAAATCCGCATGGTATATTTATTATTATTGTTATTGTAGCAACTTGTTTCTTTGACAATTTTAAACCTCATGTAAAATTAAATTAAAATTTAAAAATATTAATATGGGAATCAAAAAAAAATAAATAAGTCTGCGTTTATAAATAAAAACTCGTATCTCGCATTTTATTTATTATGTATTTGTGTAATAAATAATAAATAAATACATGAAGAAATTTAATTTTTAAAATATTTTTAATTCGAAAGGAGAAAATAATGCTAATTCCATGAACACTTTCTCTAAAGGAAAAAATAAATTTTTTTTAAAAATAAAAGCTTACACTCTTTTTACATCTTTTTTTTCCTTTTCTTATCTTCTTCTCTCCATCCTTAATTAACACGATAATCATAAAAATAATAACATTGTTTATAACAAATAACAGCCAATTAATCTAATGTCTACTGCATCCTCACATTCTTCCTATTCCTCGCCCTATTGGAGTGAGCGTGGTGAACATCGTACAAGTGGAGATAGTGGAATATCATCAGTCTCTGTTATTCATTCCCCAGTATGCATAATTCTCATCATTACCAATTTTCATTACAAGTCCTGCTTGACTGATAACAATTTAATAATAATAAATGTTGTATGTTCTCTCCCTTTTTCTCTACCAGACACGTTTACCAATAGCTTCGAAATTTTCACCAACATCAAGCTCGTTTTCATTTAATAAAAATAATGAATATACTACGGAACATTTAGATACAGATGCAAATTGGTATAGAAAATATTTTTACGGAAAAGGTAATTAATTAATTAATTAATTAATTAATTATCAATTATGGTTATTTTCTAAATTTTTTTATCAATTAATTGCGCATTTATTATATTTTTTTTTTACTTTTTTTTTTTTTTTAGATCATACAACATATGTGGGCCATGTAGAGCCATACGGACCAATTATAGTATCATTGATATTGGATAGTGTTACAATGAATCATAATAATGTTGAGATATATTGGTATAGATATATATTTAGGACAAAGGAAGTGAGTTATCATAATCAACATAGATTATCATTATAACAATAACAATTATTATTGCACTTATTAAACAATTAATTAATTAATCTGTAGTTACCGGATGAAAGAGGAATATTATCAGGCCCCGTGATGCCTCCTTTTGGTGATCCACCATGGGATGATTTATTAAAAATGATCTCTAAGGATATTTGCAATAGACGTTTAACAAAATTTATAACAACACCAAAATTGGGCATAGAAATATTAAATTTTGATGAAACAAGGGTAATTATTTGTAAAAAAAAAAAAAAAAAATTTTTTTTAATAATTCAATAATCAATTAATTGTAATCAATTGTTTAAAGCTGCGTAAAAAATATAAAGTTGGAGTCTTATATTGTGCACCTAATCAAACAACAGAAGAAGAATGGTTTTCAAATACTACCACATCAAAATATTTTGATGATTTTCTTTCAATATTGGGTGCAAAAGTTAGACTGCTTGGGTTTGAAGGCTTTGGAGGTGGGTTGGATACACGTACAGACGGAACTGGGGAATATTCACTTTACGATAATGGTACATGGAAAGATTTTGAAATAATGTATCATGTTAGCACAATGTTGCCATATGACAAAGTTGATAGACATCAAATAGTTAGAAAAAGACATATTGGGAATGGTAAATATTTTATTTATTGAATCAATTAATTACACATTCAAGATGCTTATAATAATATTATATTGTGTATGTTCACTTCAATCAATAGATATTTCGTGTATTATATTTCAAGATACTTTTAGACCATTTTCCCCTGCGTCTATAAGATCGAAATTTTTACATGTATTTGTAATAGTGAGTCCGGTTCAATTAGAGAACGGCAAAGTGGGTCATAGGTAATTATTTTTAATATTATATAGGACGTTAATATTTTATTTTAAATTTTAAATATTTATACTTTTTATTCGTAATTTTTTTATAGGGTTGAAATAGTTTCTAAAGATTCAGTTCCATATTTTGGGCCACCTTTACCTGATCCACCAATATTTGATGATACTTTACGATTAAAAAAATTTTTAATTGCTGCTGGTAATTAATCAAATAATATTTAATCAATCAATCAATCAATCAATCAATCAATCAATTGTTTTATCTGTTTGCTTTAAGTTATAGTTACTTATCATTGATTGTTTTTTATTTAGTGATTAATGGACAAAATGCAGCCTGGAAAACTGCACAATTGGCAGAACCATTTTTGAGAGCCAGACGTGGTATAATAGAAAACATAACAAATAGATTAGTGCCAAACCCAAAAAATCGCATTGACAATAATGAAAGTAAAACATCGGCAGAAAATGTACATAAAAAGCCTACACAAGAAGAATTAGATCACACATTAAGACGTCTCTTTGTAGAACAATTAAAGTCGGGCGGACCACCACCCGATATTGTACAAGTTCAAACACTTTTGAAACAAGGCGCCAACCCAAATATAAAAATACCTCAACCTAAATCATCAAAACCAAAACCAAAACCATCAAATCAACTCGATTCTTCAAATTATCATCGACAACATCATCATAATGCCTCAAATTACTCAATTTTTCATCTTTCATCAAATTCAATATCGTCACTAAATTCTCATAGCAGATCAGTCTCTTCTTCTACCGTCTCATCCACAATTTCTAATCTTTCATCGACGAATGGAGATTACGGCAATAATAATTATAACAATAACTATTATAATAACAATAATAGTGGTGGTAATATTGTTGGAAATAATAACAGTAATGGACACCAAATTTTGCACAAATTACCAAATATATTATTTGCAACAATTGCAATGTGTGACGATCCCGTTTATATAAAGTATTTAATATGTTCAGGGACAGAAACTATGCCCAAGGATACACATTTTCCAAATGCATTTGTGTATGCTGCGCGTCTTAAGCGTGTAGCAACCATGACATGTTTATTGGAGAGCGTCCCCTCATTAAGTGATCCTGAATCAGTTGATGCTGCTATAAACGAAAGGATCATCGAACCATCAACTAAACCTTTTTATGGAATATGGTATGGTTTAACGGGCGAAGTTAAAAAATTAAGAGAACAAATCACAGGAAGATAATTCATTTTTGATAAGCGTCTGTCTGACCGTTAAAATATTTTATAACAATATCACAACACAATTGCTTGATGTCATATAACAATCATTGATTTTTATAACCCATCCATCCCTAATTATCAATCATAATTAATATTGTAACATTATTTTTTAAACTAATTTTTAATTCGAGCCATACATACATACATACATATAATATATATATATATATATAATTTTTTTGTAATATACATAATCAATTAATCGATCTTAATCTTTAATATTTCTGAATTAATAAAAACCCAAAACAATTTAATATTAATATTTAATATTCTCCCGTCACGATTGTACGATGTTACTATTACTATTTGTGTATGACAAAAAAAAAGTGTCTGGACCTTTTTAGTTCTCTTTTTTCTGCATTTTTTTGGTGGTTCTAGACTCTTTTTATAGATGAATTTTTACATTTAAGGCAATGCAATATCATTTAATGAATATAATTTTTCTTTAAAAAAAATACAATACTAGTTTTCATTTTCTTCAAAACAACTAAACCATTTATTATATATTATATATCATAATCGTTATTATCAAATGAATGAACCATCAACACCTTCGTCGCCTTCTTGTTCGTTGTTATCAACAGTATCAACGACATCAACAGCAGTGACTACACCAACAAATCCGATTAATGATGATGATGAAGACGTTGATGATAACAATAAGGAAGATTTAGATAAAGATGGTAGACATCGTGCATTCATAGTAGCATTCGTAGTACGTGAAGTGTGTATGATATCTAATCGAAAGTTTGCTTCGCAAATAATTTCAAAAAATAAATTATTAACTGCTTCTGAAAAGACTATTTTGTTAGAAATTTTTGATGGAAAATCTTTGGTAATTATTATTGTTATCTATTTGATGATATATCTATTTTGATTATTAAAACTAATTAATGGATGGTTTTTTTGTTTTTTTTTAAAAAAAAGGAATGAAGATGGGTGAAAATAAAGGAGAATTCATTAGTAGTGTAGTTATTCCTTTGTTTGTAAATATTGTTTCAAACTTTTTTTATATACATACATGTATTACATAAAAACTAGCATTAATTAATTTATGTTTTGATGCAAATAATTGTCAGAAAAATAGATTTTATTATAAAATAAAATAAAAAGGCTTTGTACGGACAGTTTTATGAAGCAAATGATGATTATGTTCTTTTTTTCATAATCTATTCACTTGTAGCCATTCAATGTCATAAAAAATGGATATTATTATTACCTGTCCAATCAAAGTTGATCAAATATGTAAAGTATTATTTATTATGCCTGAGATTTTGATCTGCAATCATTAGTATAATATATTCATGTGAGACCTGAGATTTTTGTCAGACCCAACATCTCACTTGATATATGGCACATCTCTTAATTAGGTTTCTAACATTAGCCTTTCTCCTATTTTAGCAAGCAAGATCTTTGATATTGCTCAAAGGTTTGCCTACGTGTGAATTAGAAAGAGATATTGTCAAGCATGACCAAGTTTTTGAATTGTGTGTGTGTGTGTGTGTGTGTGGATACTTACCATTGGACTGCTTCCATAATGGCTATTTTCCATCACAAATACAATTTCATTCTGATCCATTTTCTTTAGCACATGTGCATTAGAATTATATTATGACGATAATTTTCTGTTTTTTGATTGTTGTTGCGGCCAAAACAAGGATAAAATATAGGTAAAAGATTGTCGTTATGACTTGATGGCATAATAATTAACAAGACTTCTAAATTGATATAATGTAGCAATTTGTGTAAGATGCATGTGATACATTGTAGGATCATGTCTATGAAGGGGGATTGGGTCTGTTTTCACAGAATCTGCAAAGTCATACACCTTACACCTAAAGAAACGTTAGCACATTCACTGAATAGAATAGCCAACCCAAACAGACTACTGCAACTAAAAAATAGATATCTAGAGTCAAAAAAAGCCGGCTATAAGGATTCGTTATCTAAAATGTCCATTGCTGTAAAATTCAAAAGCGATATTCGGAACTTCTTTGCACATTTCCTGATCACATCAATAGTTAAACAACCCTTGATAAAATTTCTACTCTTTTGTAAATTGTTGACCTTGTTAATGTTACTGGAAACAAGCAATAGCTTCTTTTTGTATAGCTTCCACATCCAGACCATTCCTCCCATTCACATTTGACTCGCTAACACAAGCCAGTTCACAATTTTTAAATTTAACTTGTAGCTTTATATATATATAACATTTACAAGTGGAAAATAACCTCTTTGAGAAATTTAACTATTTGTTAATTAATTAACAAATTAGAGAAGCAATCCAATTAATGAATGAATGGTTTTTAATTTTTAAAATAAAATGAATTTATATTCCTTGAGCCAATCTTCGCTTATTTTATCGTTTGTTTGTTGTTCAAATTTGGAAGTTTTGACTAAAAACCCGTTTTTCAATTGACCCACGTTTTTAAATAATTCTTTTTGTGAGATCTTGAGTAATTAACAAAATGAACTCCGAAATTATATTCAATTATCTCTTTTTTCTTTTCCAAGATTCAAAATAGTAATGTTATTAGTCGTATGACATTACACAAACATAACAAAAAAAAATTCATTTGTTATAAGAATCATGCATGATATATGTAAGCTGTCTGTTGAATTACATAATATTAGAACCTTATTTTTGTATTTTTGCAAATAATCGATATATGTTGTTGTGATATAAACTATTGGGTATTGGCGAAGGTGGTGTAAGAGTAGTGTGGAGTAGGGGAAAGAGGAGAGTGGATAGAAAATGTAACGAAAACTATTTCTGCGCCATACTTTCAAATAATAATAATCTAATTAGGTGTCTTCTTGTTCCTTGATACACGATCAAATCTAATTTTTATTGGCTGATAAAAAATAAATAAAACAAAGAAAACGAGAATATCAAAAATAGTTGTACAATGATAAATTATCCATCCAGTTCAAAAAGTAACTTCTGCTAATAATGACAATGGCAAAGTATTTACTCAATTCATATGATAGCTACTTCTACTAATAATGACAAACAATAATAACAAAGTATTTATCAAGTTCGAAGGGCAATTCGTCTTCATCAAAACTTTCATCAAATTCATCTGAACCAATCACTTCTTGAATAGATTTAGAAACAATGCCTCAGAAGTTGGCATTTTTAGAAAAACGTGTAAATTTTATTATTATACAGGTCCGTACCAAAGATAGATATTAATATGGAAAATTTTCTTTCAATTACCTAATAAATATTGTATAACGAGGAACAGAAAACAGTAACGGAACAATTTTGAACATCCCTAATGATAAAGCTTCTAGACCTGTCGATCAATTTCTATAAGCATTCATTCAAGATTTGGGGCAAATTTTCAAAAATGGCAACCAACCATGTGCAGAATAGAGAGGTCAGAGATTGACGGAGTAATAGCTTTTTTAAAAGGAAGGTGGATCAAAATTTTAGAAATTAGACACAAATGCATGGACAAGTGCTTGCTGTTAACCACATCAGGTATACACATACTGCAAATCATTGTTGGCAATATTAGATAACCGATAATTGTTTTAATATTAAAAAGATATGGAATTAGTTGCTCATAATACATTTTGGCGACCTTGTTACACACTCTACAAAAGTGATAGATAAAGGTTTATTGGTAATAAAATTTTAGTCAAAAGAGCAAAAAGACTCATAGGTTTTTTCCTCCACCTTAAGCAGAATGAACGTTTGAAAAATATTTAAATTATTCAAATACAAATGAATAGACATTCTGATGTGGTAATTTTACATGTTCCAACTCGTTGAAATTCTAGCTATATTTCTTGGACAAGACTTATAAAAATCAAGATTTATTTCATTGTTAGCAAGTTCCATGGAGTCTAATTATGATGTCCTAAAAGATTGAAAGAGATTCTTTTAAGTGTGAATTTTGAAGGAATTAGTCAAAGTTCTAAAACCATTTGAAGAAGCAACTGCATACCTTGGTGGGTAGAAGTACATATTTATGTGATATTTAGTATAACACATCCGTTGATACAAGAAATATTCCATATCAATTCTGAATATACGATGTTTTTAATGGTGGGTTGGTTTATCAAAGGAATGGAAAATGCTAAACAAAAATAATTAAATTTAAATCAGCCGATGCAAATCGAAAGCGCACTCACTATAAGTGTAGTTAATAGAATTTATATAATGCAATGAACTTTTATTGGATGTTTGAAAATAAAGAATATATGATTGCTGTTATGTAGAAAACAATTGAATTTTTGTTGAAGGTAAATAAATATAAAGAATTTTAGATATTGATTTTTTATTGAATTTAATTGTAGTCCTTTTGATTGGTGGAATTACAAATACAAGTGCCCTCTTTTCGCAAAATTGTTCGTTAATACCTTTCTGTCTCAGCAACTTCAATACCAAATGAGGGGATTTATTAACTGCGAGAAATTACTGGACGACGGATTAATTTTTAGAGGTAAATGGCGGATGAACGGATGACGGATATACACGGATTGCATCATTAGTGCAGAAATGGTAGTTATAGACTTTGTGTACCATCATGGGAGTAGTGGTAATGGGAGCAGAAGAAGTAGTATATGTAGTAGAGATGTAGCAGCAGATGTAGTGAAAACATGTGATTTATTGTCGTTGATAAAAGTTATTGATGTTGAAGTTATTATTATATTTTGCAAGTTTTTTCGTGAATAATTTTCGCGCTTTATTTATACTAATAAGACAGAATGGAACCATGAATGTTAAGAAAATTGCAAAATATCAAATCAATAAATTTTGTATTTGAACCTTGATTTATAATAGAAATCTATCCAAGACAAACTTGGCGATCCGGCTATAAATGAGTGTGGCATCCATAGTAATCATTTTCTTTAAATAACATCTTTTGAGATTTTTTCTATCTGCATATAAAAAAAGGTTTTATATAATGGAACAAAAGCATAATACAACTTTTCATGCAAAGGTACTCGATTAGTGATTTTTGTAGAAAATAATTTCTAAATTTGGTTAATACAATTTCAGCGCTCCAATTTATTGTTGTTTATATTGTGATGATGGTGGAAATTGTTGGATCATTCCTTGTAATTTATTTCATATTTTTTTAGGATTGTCTAGAGTTGATTCCACCGTAAAGGTTCGTCGTATTTGGTTGTTATATTATTCTCTCCACGAGTAGTTATTTTTGCATCGATTTGTGCAGGAAATGAGCTATAATTTTTGAATATTCCTGTGAACATTTCCCTCGAAATTATTTGAGTGGGATATGCGATTAATGTATTCAAACCGGCAGAAAGAAAGTTCAGCCTTGCACTGAAATTCATATTACATAAGGAGATTATTAATTCATAAACACTATATTTCACCCATTTCAATTCAATCAATATAAAATTTAATAATTTTATTAATAAATAATTTATATCTTCATTCTACTTAGAATATAATTGCTACTAATACTTCCAAGAGTAGTATTATTCTTATTATTGATAGTTTCTTTACCTTTCTTTTCAACAATTTGAAACACTTCATATTCATCGATGGAGAAACCATCTTCCGAAGATCGAATACTAGATTCATAACTGTGTTGAATACAACAAGATGCACTATTTTCCTTGAAATTTTCACCTGCTAATTTCAAATCACCTTTCAACCCACCTCCAAAACATGGTCCGTAATACATGCTTTGAAAAATTGCACATTCATAATTCGTCACTCTACTAAGAATCGGATCAAATTTAAATACTTTATCACCCAACGAAAAAATAAAACTTTTTGTAGTTTTACTATAGTTGGTTAGTATGTTCGAGTACCAATTTTTTGGGCTATATCCGCCTAAAATTTCACCAGTACTCTCAACTCTGAGCACTATGAGTGTTGGTCCTTTTACATCGCATAAAGAATGAAATTTTTTTAGGGTGAACCCGTCTCTACTACCACGCAACAACAATTTCAAATTATACTTGTTGACATAATCGCTATCAACCCAACCCATAATTAAATGTAAATCCGATGGAGTTGCAAGCTGTGAATCAAAGATATCATCATCATCGCCATTATTTGAATAGATACTAGATGTAAAGTATAAATCTGGTAAATTTTTTTTTAAATCATCACTTTCTGGCAAAAAATGATAATTGTAAATTTCTTTATAAAAATCTGGTATAGCAGCATCCAAACTTTTCATCCAAGGTCTCACATTTTCGACTATTTCGTCAGCAGACATTTTTGTAAATGGTATTAGTGGTAGGAATGGCTTTAATGAATTACCCAGTAATTTGAAATCATTTTCTGACCAATCAGAATTCAATGATGATGATGACGATGGTGGCAGACAACTATTACTAGGTTGTGCTAAACCCCATTCTAAAATATGTTTCCACAATAAAATCGGTTTTAGGTTGAAATTATGATATTTAAGAAAACAAAATAATGTTTTGTCTTCCATTTTAACAAAATCACTCGAGTCAAAAATTGTTGCAGGATTTTCCTTTATAATTTCAATCACGCATTTTCTTATTTTCGGATATCTTTCCTCTTCTGATGCAAAACGATGTACTCGAACAAAATGTGATAATAATCTCCATGGATTT